AACCAGCGCCCCGCCTGAGACATCCTCACAATCTGCTCTCCAAGCGAAGGATGTTGAGCCCAGAAACAGGCGAACCGCCTGAGACATCCCCACAAAACGGCCGCGAACAAGCCCGTGCAAACACCCCTGGCGGCTCCCCTTAGGGGTGCTGAAGCCAGCGCCCCGCCTGAGACATCCTCACAATCTGCTCTCCAAGCGAAGGATGTTGGGCCCAGAAACAGGCAAACCGCCTGAGACATCCCCACAAAATGGCCGCGAACGAGCCCGTGCAACCACCCCTGGCGGCTCCCCTTAGGGGTGCTGAAACCAGCGCCCCGCCTGAGATATCCTCACAATCTGCTCTCCAAGCGAAGGATGTTGAGCCCAGAAACAAGCAAACCGCCTGAGACATCCCCACAAAATGGCCGCGAACGAGCCCGTGCAAACACCCCTGGCGGCTCCCCTTAGGGGTGCTGAAACCAGCGCCCCGCCTGAGACATCCTCACAATCTGCTCTCCAAGCGAAGGATGTTGAGCCCAGGAACAAGCAAACCGCCTGAGACATCCCCACAAAATGGCCGCGAACGAGCCCGTGCAAACACCCCTGGCGGCTCCCCTTAGGGGTGCTGAAACCAGCGCCCCGCTTGAGACATCCTCCAAATCTGATGTGTGTTGAGTAAGTCTGAGTATGAGTAGGTCTGAGTATGAGTATGTCTGAGTATGAGTAAGTCTGTGTATGAGTAAGTCTGTGTATGAGTAAGTCTGGGTATGAGTAGGTCTGTGTATGAGAAAGTCTGTGTATGTGTACGCCTGGGTATGAGTAAGTCTGAGTATGAGTAATACTGTGTATGAGTAAGTCTGGGTATGAGTGAGTCTGTGTATGAGTACGTCTGGGTGTGAGTAAGTCTGTGTATGAGTAAGTCTGTGTATGAGTATGTCTGAGTGTGAGTAAGTCTGAGTATGAGTAGGTCTGAGTATGAGCAAGTCTGAGTATGGGTAAGTCTGAGTATGAGTAGGTCTGAGTATGAGGAAAGAGGAGGGGTGGAGGAAAGAGGAGGAGGGAGAGGGAGTAGGAGGCGTCCAAGTAATAACAAGAACCCCATCTTAGGATATGGGGAAAAAACAGCCAATGGCAAATGCATCAAAACAAAACAACGCTGTGATTTCGAAACGACGCGAGGATGTCCAGACTCGCCGAGCGGTTGAGTGCGGGCGGAGCCGGGTCAGGCGCGCAGCGGCTTGAAACCCTGGTGCCCAAAGGCATGCTTGATTTCAGCCGTATTGCGGAGAGGCGGAGAAGGCGGGCACACTGCGCGGGCGAGATTCCATGCAGCAAAAAACACTGGCGGGAAGGAGAAGTAGCTGCAGAAACCTGATCTTTCTCACCAGAGAAGAATACCACGACCACCAGCTAGGGGGGTAGCTGTCCTACCCTCTCGAGCTGGTGGCACCTCGTTCTGGACATGCCTCCAGAGAGTGCCCGGAAGGAGGTGGCACCAGCTCGAGGGGAGGGAGCGGCCAACGCCCCAGCTGGTGGTCGTGGTACTTCTGTTTCTCCTGACTTTCGGAGGTCCGCGCGGAATTCTCAAATCCGCTCTGGACCCCCTCGCTGACGCGCGAAGCGCCGAGCACACCGGGGGAGGCGCCAGAGGCGCCTCCGGGAAGGTGTAGCGCACGGACCCAAGGGATCCGCAAGAACCTCCGAAAGTGTATGTTTATGCAGATGCTTCTTCCTCTTGGTCGACCCATAGGAGGGTCCAGCTGAAAGGGGGTGGTGCAACAGATGTTGGGCACTTGCATTGTAAATGTACTGCGCTGGGGAATTGTATTGCATTGTATTACAAATAATGCGTTGCACGCGAAAACCCAGCAATACACTTATTGCACCGAAACTATTGCACCACCCCCTTGCCGCTGACCCCCTTTGGGGTCAACCAGATTCTTCGAGCGCGAAGCATCGAGAGGGCTTTCGGACAACATCAAGCTGACCGACCCTTTTAGAGGGCCACCGGGCGCGTGCGATCGCTCTCCCCCACCAGGGCCTATAGCTCCCCCCTTCAGGGTTCTGTGGCAACTCATGGGAGCATTCCATGTCATCTTGCCGGCTCGACGCGAACCGACGCTAATCGACGCTAAACGACGCTTATCGACACCAATCGACGCTGAATTGACGCCCAACGACGCTAGATCGGCGCCTTTTCGTCGACGACCACGGACTAGCGTACGCTGACGCACTATACAGACGGCATTACGAGGACACACGAGGCCCCCCGATTCATGGCACCTGGTAAGGAGCCGTCCCCACCCACCCCTGATGGGCGTGTTTTCCACCACCACCACCATAAGTTGAAGTTGGGAAGGAGGAGGAGGAGGACGAGGAGGAGGAGGACGAAGAAGAGGAGGAGGAGGAGGAGGAGGAGGAGGGCACCCTCCCCCTCCAACTTATGGTGGTGGTGGTGGTGGAAAACACGCCCATCAGCCCCAGTTCGCTCCAGGCCCTCGAGCAGCCCTCCGCCGTGCCCGGACGGCCAGGGAGGAGGAGCAGCGGCAGCAGGCCTCGTCGGCAAGGCACCACCCCAGCGACGCGCTGTCGCGAAGCGTGCGGTATCGATGCGCGGGGGAGACAAAAGCCCGTCGGGAACAAACGATGTCCCGAGCACCCGCTGTCGGGGATAAAATCAAGTGGCGCGCTGTACGGGAAGAGAGAGAGAGAGAGAGACAGAGACAGAGAGACAGAGAGAGAGAGAAAGAGAGAGATCGAGAAGTAGGGAGAGCGAGACAAAGGGACAGAGAGAGACAGAGAAAGGCAGAGAAACCGAGAGATAGAGAGAGGAAGAGGGAATGACTAATTCCCTCTTTCTTTCTCTCTCTCGCTCTCTCTCTCTCTCTTTCTCTGTCCCACCCCTCATTCCAAATGAGAGACTGTGTGTGTGCGGGCTCGAGCTTGACCGACGGGACAGTCAGCAAAATGACGGAACTTAATCTGGAATCTGAGGAGAGCACCCGCTGCAAACATCTCGCGAAAAGTGGCCTGCCATATTTCACGCTGGGGCCATCAAAAAGCAACGGCTAGCCTGAGTTCTGGAAAACTTGGGTCTCACGTTTCCCAAACGTTACTCCCGATAACGATTAACGCCCGTCTGGGGCCGCCCCCCTGGTAACGTCACGCTTCGCACCGGCGCGGCACTGTTGCACATGGCTACAGGTAGCTAATGCCCAACCGGCGCCGGCGCAAATCGTGGCTACCGCAGCCCTCCCTACGAGTAACGCCCGTTTTCGCCAGAGGACCCGCCAGCATGTCCCCCGTCAGGTTCAGGCATGCTAGAATTAAGTCGGGCGTGTCCCCATACTCAACAAATACTCCCAAAATGTTCAAAAATACATATTAAAAAAAAAATGGTCCACTGACTATTTTTCGACTATCTTTGAACATTCCCCCTGTAGAGGGACACGCCCGACTTAACGCTAGAATGCCGAGCGCTGTCTGGTAAGCTTTCTGTCTGCATTCTGATGGCCCTCCCCCCTACGAGTAACGCTCGTTTTCGCCCGTTTTGCCCTGGGAGGAGGAGGAGGAGGAAGAGGAGGAGGAGGATTTTCTGTGAGCATTCTGATGTCCCTCCCCCCTCCTCTCGGCCCAGCTGCGTGCGTCGCACACCGCCCCCCGCTTCCCGAGGGTCCCTGGGCGCCCTGCGCCTCCTCGGCGCTCTCCGGGGCTCCCCGAGGCCTCCAAGGCGGCTGGGGCAGGACACGCAGTCAACCCGCAGAGTAAGGATGCGCGATAAGGATGCAAGGCCCTTGGACGCCCATCTCGAAGCGTTTCAAGCGGGGCGCGGCCAACGAAAGTGTCCAAGGATGGACCCAGGAAGCAAGGATGCAAGGGTACCCTTGGGAGGGATGCCTATCCTTACTCTGCGGGTCGACTGTATGGCATCCAAGGGCATCCGACAGCTCCCACGAAGCGCCGAATAGACCCCCAGAGGCCTCTAAGAGGCCCAAGACATCCCCAGAATGCCCTCCAGAAGGCCCTCGACAAGCCAAAAGCACTGAGTCCCCTTTTGGTGTTTCAATGTCGTTCGCAGTCCGCGCCCTTCGATCGAAGATAGCTCCACTTGCGGCCTTCGAAAGCCAAGACCGACTCCCTGAGGACCCCAAGAGGACCCCGGACGGCCTGGGACGGCCCCAAGAGAACCCCAAGCTGGCCCCAGAGGGCCTCCAGAGGGACTCCAGAGGGACCCAGGACGGCCTACGAGGGTTCCCGGGCGGCTGCAGACGGTCCCGGGACAGCCCCCTGGGCAGCCTCAAGAGGCCCCTCAGACTGCCAAGAGGGCCACGAGCCGTCCAAACGGAGACCCAGGACGGCCACAGAGTGCCCCAAGTCGGGCCGAGACGGCTCCAAGGGACCGCCCAGGCTGCCCCACAGAAGCAGACAGGCCCAAAGCAGGCCGAATGAGCCGCACGAGAACTCCTCCAGGGATGGCGACAGAAGTCAAAGGGCGTCACCAGTGACACCCTTCTGGGCGGTGCTCGAAGGCTCGCTGCACGGAGGGCTGCGCTAGCACGGTCGCAGACTTGAGACAGTCGAGGGACAGTCGAGGGGGAGGGGAGCAGAGAGGCTGGCGAAGAGAGGCGGGGGCAGGGTGTGGAAGGCACCCCGGAGGCGCTCGCGCGCAACGAAACTCACCGCGCGCGCAGCTGCAGACTCTGAAGCAGCGCGCTCCACATGCTGCAACAAGCGCTATGTACAGCTTTAAAACACAGCCTGTTGAGATCTTAGGGGAGCGAAGAATGACATAAGCACAAAAAATCGGAGGTCCGCGCGGATTTCTTGGATCCGCGCTGGACCCTCCTGGCGGCGCCTCTGGCGCCGCCCCTGGCGCGCTCCGCGAGCCAGGGAGGGGGGTCCTGCGCGCATCCGAGAAATCCGCGCGGACCTCCGAGTTTGGGTGTTTATGTCATTCTCGTTCCCCCAGATCTGGCTCCCGTGGCCCGTGGGCACAGCTTCAGGCCTCTGACAAAGAGCGCTCAACTCGGGGGCGGCCAAGAGGGGGGCGTCCAAGAGGCGGGGCGCAAATCATGGCCGGCGGCATGTGCAGGGCCCAGAGGGGGGCCAGGGACGTAACGACACAAGACGAAGCGCCGTGACATCTGGGGAGATACCATGGCCCCTGCCATGATATCCAACCCCCCACCCTGGCCCCAGTCCTCACCCCCTCTTGGCCGCCCCCGAGAGATCTGGCTCTCGTGGCCCGTGGGCCCAGAGGAGGAGGAGGAGGAGGAGGAGGAGGAGGAGGACGAGGAGGAGGAGGAGGACGAGGACGAGGAGGAGGAGGACAACGAGGAGGAGGAGGAGGAGGACGAGGAGGAGGAGGAGGAGGAGGAGGAGGAGGACAACGAGGAGGAGGAGGAGGAGGAGGAGGACGAGGACGAGGAGGAGGAGGAGGACAACGAGGAGGAGGAGGAGGAGGAGGACAAAAGAGCGCTCCACGCTCCACGCTCAACTGCCACCGCCCCGGGAGAGGCGGCCCCATTACGGCGGGCAGGCGCGCGGAGAGCGCTGGCCCTCGGACACAGGCCCCAACCCCACCCCACCGGGTAAAGCACTGCCCTTCCCTCGTCCTCCCTCGCCCTCCTCCTCCTCCTCCTCCTCCTCCTCCTTCCTCCTTCTCCTCCTCCTCCTCCTCCTCCTCCTCCTCCTCCTCCACAATTTCTCAATATGAATACTACTATCCTCCTTCCTCTGATGACGAGTTGGGAGTGTTCGCCCCCCCCCCGCGTACTGTTTTTTACACACAAGATTCCCCGGAGTTGGGTTTTCGCTTGCATCTGTTTTTCAAAATGCTGCTTTCGCTGAGGCGCCGGCCTCATTTTCGGGCCCCGCTCGTTCCGAATCGTGCTCCCGCTGCAGCGCTGGCCTCATTCCCGTGCTTCCGCTCGTTCCGAATCGTGCTCCCGCTGCAGCGCTGGCCTCATTTCCGCGCTTCCGTTCGTTCCGAATCGTGTTCCCGCTGCAGCGCTGGCGTCATTTCCCGTGCCATGCCACGGCACGCAATGCAATGCTAGGTTGCGCTCTGCTGCGCAATGCCATGCCTTCAGCTGAAGCTGTGATATGCACTGCTAAGTGCCACGTCGTGTTATGCCATGCTACGCTTTGATCTTCAACGCCATGTTATGCAATGTTATGTTCGGGGCCGCTGTACGATGCCATGCTTTGCGTTGCAAAGCGTTGTAATGATATTCTTCACTACGCCACGCCACGCCATGTTGGGACATACTACGTTTTGCGGTGCTCTTCTACGCCATGCCACGCCGTGCCCTGCAGTGCATCGCGCACCCTTTCGGGATCATTGCCCTGCTCGACATCCGACTGTGCGAGTAGAGAGGGGATCTACGCCATGGTAAGGGATGGGAGGGAGGGGTAGGATGTCAGATATGACGCGAGCGCACCTAGCTTTTCCATATCCCTCCCTCCCTCCCTCCCTCCCTCCCTCCCTCCTCCTCCTGTCCTCCCTCCCTCCCTCCCTCCTGTCCTCCTCCATTCTCTCCCTCCCTCATTCCCCCTTCCCTCTCATAGACGTATAGCTACACAGAACGGTTCAGTCCACGCCGCCTACCTTTCGGGGCGTCTCTTTGACCAGCTGCGGCGACCACATAGAGGATCGTGATCGGTGCTTGCCATCCTCCAACTGCTCCTCAATAGTTCCAGCCTGCTCGTCCCCCCTAATCTTTTTATGGGATCAACTCCCTTGCCTCAGATCAAAGTGCGAGACGTCAGTTATGCAGGTATGCGGCATCACCTGGGACGGTGCAGGCACGATCCTCCAGGCTGTGCCCCCCTTGAACAAGGGGAGACCACCGAAGCCACCCCCTGGAAATGAGGTGTGCGGCGTCACCTGGGACAGCACAGCACGTGCTATCCTCCAGGCCGCGCCTCCCGCAAGCGCAGGAAGACCACCGAAGCCACTCCCCCTACATCAACGGAATGAAGTCGTCTAGGTCGACTGTGACCTCAGCTCTGTCTGGATAGAGGCCCTTCTTGAGCCTCCTGCAATTCCTTCGGCCAGTCTCCGTGGGGGGCTTACAGACTTGACTGAGTCCGACCATCTGAGCGCCGCTGGAATAGAATTTACATCGTAAACACAGCAAGAGAAAAGACGCGTCAGAGCACGGAAACGCCACAACTTTGTGCTGTAGCCGTTCCAGGACACCTCCCAGAAGCTTCCCGACGTCCAGGACACCTCGGTCCAGCCTCGAGCGTCCAGGACACACTGAGTCGGGAGGGAGCACATTCTCACCCACGACCGAGCCCTTCAAACAAACTTCGCACCGCCAGAAACCACTCATCCTCTTCCACGCGCGGGCGAGAACCACGGTCGGCTTCGGGGGCGACCGAGGAGCACTCGCAGCGCCTCTGAATTCAAGCTTGGGCCACTCCAACAGGATAGCAGCACCAAGCTTCATCACGCGCACGGCAATCTTGAAAGAGCGGCACAGCTGATCCAAGAGGACAGGGTCAGCCGACGGATGCCTCGCAAGAGCTCGCTTGGCAGCCACATCAGCATAAAAGTTGCCTAGTCGGGGGAAGCGGTCCTCCGACGAGATGTCCTCTTCATCAGGGTCCAAGTGGGCCTTCACCTTCCTGCACGACAAAAGGTTCTGCCCAAAAAGATTCAGAGCTGGGGGAATATTACCCGCATATTGCTTCTTGTCAGAGAGAGCGCCACACAAAGACAGAGCACCCTGACCGACCACATTCGCGCAGTCGCAATACAGGTCCGTCGGGGCAGAAATGTAACAAGCACTCCAGACATACGCGCCAAACTCCGCCCCTTGGGGCGTCTGAGGGCAGGGCGCCCGCAAGGGGCCCGAGATTTCACCAAGCAGCTGGCCCTCGTCCGAAACCATCGCGAGGCCCCAGGCACTGCGGGACAACTCACGGACAACATGTCCGTGGCTAGACCCATCAATTAAAACATGGCCCCAGACACTGTCACCACAGGGAACAGGAGGAGAATCGGGGAAAGGAGAGGGAAGCACATCCACATGCCACGTAATCTCCACACCACCTCCTCTGCACGGACCAGGAACCATGTCACCAGGGTGCTGGAAGGCGCCATGCAGAAAAAGCACCCGACCGTAATCAGGAGCAGACGTTTCACGCGCAGCTTCCTGAATCCACTTCGGGGCCAACTCGTCTCGCATCTCCTGACAGTGCTCACAGACCCACAGCCGATGGTGGAGCGTGTCAGGCTGGCCGCAGTGAAGACAGAGCGGAGAGACGGAAATGTAGCCCGCGGCCACGGCGTCCGAGGCCGTCCAGATGCCGTTGCACGCAAGAGCCCTCATGAGACCCTTGCCCTGCTTAGAAAATTTTGAAGACCCAAGACAATGATTCACGACATCCCAACATAAGCGATGATGATCGCAACCATACTTCACACTTGGTTCCCGCTCAAGGTTTCTGTACACCGCCCCCCTACAGAGCGAACGAACCATCTGAGGGGAATCAAGGGTGAGAGAAATGCCACGCCCAAAATCGCCCCTAAAAGTGCAAAAATCAGGCATAGTCCAACCCAAGCGGTAAAGCGACATCCGAAGGGCACTTAACGGCCCAGAAACCTTGCCCCAAGAGAGATCTTCCAACGCAAAAACAGTAGCCCACCCCTCTCTAAGTTCGGCGAAGGATAAACACCATTCGAAGGCGTGAGTCTGCCTAAGCCAGATCTCACGCGCCCATCTCAAAATGGGAGCGACCGCCGCCCTCCACGGAGGGTCACCCTCCAACAAAGAAAGAACAGCCAACGAGCGGCCCTGGGATCTCGGTTTACTGGTACTCATGCCCATTCGCCGAAGCGAGAGAAGCTCGCGGTCGGAAATCCCGAACACCTCAGGAAAAAAATAGTGGCATCCATCCTGCCAACAGATTGTCCCATGCGAGAGAGTCGACGGCACTTCCTGGCAGCTGCAGCCAGGCGTGACTTTAATTTGGCCCCACGGCCAGCACCTGCAGCTCGAATCGGCTTGTCAGCCGCGAAAACAATGCCTAAATTGACAACACTGGACTTACCAGCACCCGCTAAGGGCCCGAGCTTGGCCTCCAAGACAGAACTGAAAGACTTGTGGCTGGTGACGAGGCCAATCTTGTCCATGGCCAGCACGCAGCCCAGAGAGACCGCGATGGCCTCGTGCAAAGCCTGAGCGCCACGCACCAGACCTGCCACAACAGACCGAAACGACCCCGTTTTACTTAAAGACGTATCGTCAATGTAAACATCGAACTCGATGGTAGGCGCCCGAGGGATCGCATCGAAGGCCGACACCGCGAACACACGGATAAGGCTCGTCGCGAAGCTGCACCCCGCAACGGGCCCCCTGTCCACGAAGTAGGGACCGACGACGAGACCACCCATGGCCAAAAACCGAGCCGACGCATAAGCTCGGATGAAAAGCCTAGCAAGGGAAAGAGGGAACCCGTGACGCCTGCATTGACCAAAGGAACTTAAGACCCATATGTTCATAATATTTGTTGAAGTCCCAGAGGTCCCAAGAACAGCGGACGCTCGGGGTGCCCCCCCCCCCCCCCCCCCCCAAACATCCACCCCCACCCCCACCCTCCCACCCCACCCCACCACTAGTGCCAGCCTCGGCTCGGAAACTCTGCCTCCAAACAACGCCAGTGGGGCCCATGTTCGCGCCCGCAGCCCAGCAACGACGAGGATGGGCAGCCCCCCATTGGACAGCCTCGAGGCGGCGCGCTCCCCCCCGCACCCTGTACCAAGCAGGGAAGACGCCTATGGGCCGAAAGCCGCCCGCCGCCTTGGGCAAGAGCGCCATCAGCGCCCAAGCCAGCTGGATAGGGAGGCGACCCGTGGCCTCCATGACAAAAAGGAGAAGACCCATCACGTGGAGGCCTTCGTCATCTAAAGCAGAGAAGTGGCGACAGTGAAAACCACCAAGAGAAACAGCACTCGAGACATTGCACTTCCTGGGGAGACATCTAAGTTCATCAGGAGTGAGGAGGGAGGAGGGACGGATCAACTCCTTGTCACTAATCCCAAGACCATCTCCTTCGCCCCAAATTTCATGGAACTTAACCCCCTCAGCTCTCAATAACCATTTAGGATAAGCGACAACAGAGCCCCCAACAGACAGAGTGGAAGTGGGGCGCCAACGCTCGGGGCCCCTCAAAGCGGCGTGGACTCTTCGGCCCCCATCAACAAGACCAACTCTCAGCCAGTCATTCCATGAGGCCCGAGCCGAGCTCGAAGCAGCAGCACGCGCCTTAGCAGAAAGCTCCCGAACTTCATCGATCAGCCCCCTAAGCTCGGCAACGAAAAGATCGCGGCCATCCTGCGGCTAAGCTGGCGGCAATACGAAAGACTGGAGAATAGTCATCACCACCACCAGGCAGAACCAAGGGATCGGGAGTCCTGAGACGGAGCAAACCATGCCGAATGGTGGGCCCTGGGTCCCACAAGCCCTGATCAAGACGATGCCCCCAGTCATGCAAGTAGCACTGGAGCGCGCGCAGCTGGGTGTGCAACCAGAAAACGGGGCGCTGCTTGGAGTCCCTGAAGCGGCCCGAGGGCTTCAGCACCGACCG